CTCATGTCTTCGCCATGCTGTGGCAAGTGGACAAGTTGAGCTGGTAAGAAAGCTGTTGGCAAAAGGAGCAAAAGAAAACAGAAATCATCAGCACTTATCACTTCTTATTTACGCCAGTAACAATTGCAAAATTGAAATGGTGGAATATTTCATCAAAAGACCAGAGTGTACAAAGGAAGAGAGAATTGATGCTCTAGAACTTCTTGGTGCCTCTATTGCTAATGATCCTAATGCTTATGATATTAAGAAAGCATTTATTTACATGAAGCGTGGAATGGAGGAGAGAATTGAGGACCCGTCACGTCCATTGCTTAAAAAGAAAATGGAACCCGTGGAAGCTTATCAAAATAGAAGAGAGAGTCAAAGTCTTGAGGAACTTTCTCTACTAAAAGGTGATGATCATGGTATCCACATGGAGGGACTTTTGGTGAGAGAGAGAATCCTTGCAACTGACAGTACACAGCTCCGAAACCAAATCAAATACCGCGGATTTATTTTAGCAGAGTCTGAGCAGTACGAGCTTTGTATTGCACTGTGGAAACGAGCGATGGAGGTAGGCATAAACAACTTCAACAGCGTTGTTTCAGTAACCGGAGATCTTAAAGCTTTCGTAAGCTTATTCGGAGAAATGTGGCAAAATGGTAAACTTTTAAGACCAAAGTTTATAGAAGATGTGTTTGAAAAACTAGTCGATGCGAGTGAGAAACTAGCAGAGACTGAATTTAAACCTGGAAAATCGCAAGAAAAGATGTGTTATTATGCTCTCTATCTTTTGGTCATATACGGTAAACTTAAAGTTCAAAATGCCAACATAATGAGCTTTGTCCGTAGATTTCTGCGTTTAGACCATCGCACCTGTGATGGAAATACACTTCTGCACCTGGCTGTGTGGCATAAAACTCCAGTTCATAAGGACGATGATGTGTGCAAGCTTCCCTGCATTGAAACCACGGAGCGAATTTTATGTGCAGGGTGTGATGTGAATGCAATAAACGCCGCAGGAAACACTCCCCTCCATCTAGCTGCGACTTTTAAACCAGGGCCTGAACAAGGCGAAACTTTGAAAGGAATGCTGGAGCTTTTGCTAGATTTCGGTGCGGATACTGACCTTGTAAACAACATTGGTAAAACAGCAATGGTTTGCTGTGAGACTGAAGAGGCTCACGGGTTATTGAGAAGAGGACCGGGTGCAAAGAAAGTGGACGCCACAGATGTAAGATATCTTATTTCGCTGAAATGGTGAAAACTAATGATACTATTGTATACTAATTTTGGACACTGAGATTTTAAAAACTTAAAACATCAAAGTAACTATTTTGCAAATTTAGCGAATAGTCCATTGCGTCATTGGGTATTGCGATGTTAGTTATATTTCGTCACTTTAGTCCACTAGAGCAGCCCATCAGTGGTTTCGATTATTTTCTTTGTCACCTAAGCCGTTCATAACAATTCTGTAGTAGCCAACTGAGGCGTTCATGAAAGTAGCTCTTTTAGCAGGACCTCAGAGAAGGCTTGCATTTTCTATTATGTCAAGTGCATCAGCTCTAGTTTTCCCGCGTGGGCTTTAACTACCAAGGAATGCCACTTGACAAAATGTGTCACTCAACTACTTCCGAATTGCCACCACTCGGTAGCTAGACCAAATCAGAATTTCTCAATTAGGAATCGAACGTTAATAAGCACCTTCTCATTTCTGTTTGGTAAGATCCATGAGCAGGTTTACCTCGTGGTCAGTTTCATGCCACTATTTTTTCTTTAAAAACGCTTAGGTATAATTATGCCAAGTGGTAACGTCTTTTATTTTTACAAAGGATGAAATTAGCGGAAGTGAACCTGGCAAAGGAAGAAGAGGTGNACAATCTCTCAGCGGCAGACATTATCAGCCGACATACCAGCCGCCCGAAAGGGTTTATTTACTGAATAAATGTTCCCTATTTTCAATTAGAGCATATTTAGTAACATGACCCCGGACGACTCAGTTTAATGTGAAATATCAGGCAGCAAATCAAACCAAAGAAAACTCCAACGAATTATGTATTTGCTAAATTCAGAAAATATGATGAGGTGAAGCGTATGGCGAAGAATACCTCAAGCAAGAGCACTTAAGTCGAATATCAAATATACAGGCCTAACAAAAATAAAGCCTTCAAGCCGAACGCCAGGTTTAGGTAACATTATCACGATAAGACCAGGTTCTTTGAGTACTCAGTCTCTGTGACTGATCCTTTTTCGGTGAAATTGAGGCAGCTGAAAATAACGCCTTTATGGCTTTTTGTTTCTTTGCTTGTGAGATAAAAGGCCTCCTTCTATTTTCATTTCCCCAAGGAAAAATAGGTGAGTCGACACAGCAACTGGAAAATATTCGAGAGGAACTACGAGAGAGAGATGGACAACTGAGTGAGATGACACAGCAGTTGACAAATGTCGAAGGGCAACTAGTAGAGAGAGATAATCAACTGAGAGAAAAAACGCAGCAGTTAACAAATGTCCAAGGGCAACTACGAGAGAGAGATGGACAACTGATGGAGAGGACACAGCAGTTGGCAAATGTCCGAGGGCAACTTGTAGAGAGTGATGGACGACTGGCAGAGATGATTCAGGAGTATACGAATGTTGAAGATCAACTGAGAGAAGGAAGAGAACAACTGCGACAGATGACAGAGCATTCGACAAAGGTGGAGGAGCAATTACGAGAGAAAAAAGAACAAGTCAGGCAGTTGGCACAGCAGTTGAAACATGTCCAACGGCAGTCACAAGACGTAGATCGACAACTAAGAGAGAATAATAGACAGCTAAGGGAGATGACAGAGCAAATGGCAAATGACCGACAGCAGATACAGCAGCTGGAAAATATTCGAGAAAAGCGACGAGAGAGAGAAGGACAACTAAGGGAGATGACCCAGCAGTTGATAATCATACGAGAGCAGCTACAAGAAAAAGACGGAGAAGTTAATTCCCTGGAGGGACGTTTGAGGGCAAAAGAACAAGAAAAAAACGAATTGGAGAACACTCTGCTCACTGTTCAGCAAGCGTTAAGTGAAAGTTCACGCCAACAGATGCCCGACTGGATTATTCAGCGTGATCAAATTCAGCTGACGGACAACGAACTTGGTAAAGGAGCTTGGGGAAGGGTTGTCGAAGGCAAGTATTGTGGCTGTGCTGTCGCCGTAAAACAGATGCATCATGTTCTGAGATCTTCCCTCTATCGCAGAGAACCATTTGAGCGAGAGATGAACATTGCTTCAAGATGCCGCCATCCTTGCTTGTTGCAGTTCATTGGAGCAACAAACGATGATGGAAGTCCTTTGTTTGTGACAGAACTCATGGAAAAGAGTTTACGAAACTTGCTTGACGAGCGACCTCTTTCCAGCACTGAAGTATCTGTTATATCTCTGGATGTTGCTCGAGCATTAAACTATCTTCATAAAAAAAAACCATGCCCTATTATCCATCGTGATATCAGCAGTGCCAATGTGTTGTTATGGCGACATACTGACCAATGGCGTGGTAAAGTGTCAGATTATGGAACGGCTAACTTTATGCAGCAGTCCATGTCAGTTGGTCCCGGTGCTATAATATACAGTGCGCCTGAGGCATTTACTGAGCATCAAACTGTCAAGGTATCTTCAGTAATATTCTTACCATGTCTTGATGTCATCTGGAATCCATTATAGAATGACAGAATGGACACACAGAGACACATCTGTTAAAATAAACACCTGTGGTAAATTATGTCCATTTCAGAAATCTTAGTAAAATCAACCCTAATATATATACTAGTCCTCTATCTCTTAGCGCTGAGAACCTCGTGGTAAGCTGAGCCATTTACTTGAAATTTCAGACCGACAGTGTCAATTGAACCTATATGAGGTATCAGAGTGGTTAATGTTACGCTCAGTTGTTGGGTTTTGGGTCAAATTAGAGAAAGATGGCGGATTCGTTTGCCACCAAAAATGAAAAAAAATGGAAAATTTGAATCCAGGTGTGATGAACTGAGCTTCATGTGTAGATTGCTGCTCAGCATTAAAAAAAAGGTTTGAGTGGGTTTTATGGCGAAAGCGGTAAAATTAAACATAAAATGAGAATCATAAATCTGGAGTACACTTTTGAAACAAATTCTAGAGCAAATGGTGGTAAGAACTTTGTTGGAGAATTAAAGAGAGCCTAAGTGTTGTAACTGGCCTTTTCAAATATTTTTGTCTCTATTTTCATGCTTAGGTTGACGTGTACAGCTTTGGTGTTCTCCTCTGGGAGATATGTATCAGGAGACAACCTAGTCGTGAAAGGCGCGAGAAACAAGTTGCCATGGTGACCGACAGGGTGCTTCGAGTTCTCATCCGTAGATGTCTGCAAGAAGATCCTGAAGCGAGACCCAGCATGGAAGAGATCTTAAGTGAACTTGAAAAATTGATTTAAGAAAGGCTTGATTAACAAATGGTAAACGCCACAATGTACACTATTTAGTTATGGATGCATGCGGGAGGTTGTTAAGTATGAAAGAAGCGTAAGAGTCGCGCGAGGCGATAGCCGAGAGCAACTCTAACTTTAAAAGCCTCGCGCGACCCTTACGCTTCTTTCGTGTTTAACAACCTCCCACGTGCATCCATAACTCAATAGTGTACACTGTGGCATTTACCATTTGTTTTATGGCATAACATTGATACATTGTAGCTAAAGAAGTTATCTTTCATATAACAAATATTACGTGACAAGAAAAAACAAGCGCGCGTGGAAAACTAGTCTTGGCATTTGCTGACGTCAGCAGCGTACACTCATGGGCAAATGGTGGACGCTGAATTGACCAATGAGAGCGCGCGCTTTACTTTGATTATGTTCTACTCGCCTCGAGCGACTCTTACGCTTTTTTCGTGCTTAGCAACCTCCCGCGTGCATCCATAACTCAATAGTGTACGCTGTGGTGTTTACCATTTGTTTTATAACATAACATTGATACTTTGTAGCTAAAGAGTTCCCTTTTATTTAACAAATCTTATTTAACAAATCTTAACAAAGCTAAACACGCAGTCTGACTCAATACGTGCAAAAGTATTTATTTAAACATATACTGCACGATCTGACATGCTAAACACCAATAACAATGAACGCTCATTATTCTAATGAAGTTATCACATTTTATTTGTATATAATCTCTGAGCTACAATTTTACATCAGTTTTAACATTTTACTTGATAATGAGGTCATGCAGACTTCGAAACGTCGTAGTTTTTTACCGTTAATTTTTATTATCAAATGTATTTCTAAACATTCTCTGATTACAAATCTTCTTAACAAATAAATATACATGCATCCTTTAAATTGCCCACACATGTCGAATCGATGAATATACAATAAAGAAAATTGCAATGGGTGGATATTCGGCCGAATAATTTGTTCAGCGGTAATGCCCCACACGCCGTTTCAGTCTTCTCTAAGTCTTGCTCAATAACATAGAGGAGACTGCTCACTTAAAACTTAATATGTGGACGAAAATGACAAAGAATACAGCATGTCGCTATCACTTACTGCCTATGCACCAAGTATGAATATCTTCTGTCATTGCTCGACCAGATGACGTTTCGTTTGGTTTCTTTAGAAGGTATTTAAAACATTCCTTTTAAATAGATCTTTCAAGCAACAGCTTAGCATACTCAGTACAGTTTCCAAAGGCAACTTGAATTACACACTATATTTTTATTGGTGTTTATT